AATCAGGTCTATAGTTAATAGTATTGTAGCTATTTTTGCAACTTCTTTGCAAGTCTAAAATTGCAAAATAAAAATTTTTTTAAAATCAGGGGAGGAAATCCTTGCAGAACTGGCCATCTTAGAATCTTAGGCTCTAAAATATTTACTTAACGGCTAAAATTAAAAAGACTGACAATACCAAGTGATGGCAAGAATGTGGCACAATGGGAACTCTCGTAAATTGCTGGTGATTATGTAAATTGATATGGTCACTTTGGAAAAACAATTTGGTAATAACTGCTAATGTTGAATGCGTGCATTTCACATGAAGCAGCAATTCCATTCCTGCTAAATTCTCCTGCTCTTATCCTCCTGATAATAGGTGTGTCCCAATTTATATAAAAGTCAAAATCAGGTAAAACTAAAATATAGAGTTAGAAGTAGTTATCTAGGGGGAAAAGGAGGGATTAATGATTGGGATGGGGCATGATGGGGCTTCTGGGGCTGTTAATAATGTTTTATTTCTTGACCTGGATGATGGTCACATGAGTGTTCATTTTGTAATAATTAATCAAGCTATCTATCCATTTTGCGCACTTTTCTGCTTGTCTGTTATACTTCAAAATGAAAAAAATATTAAAAACAATGAGAGAAGAAGAAACGCTGAGTCTAAATGATTTAAACATCCTTTCTAAGTTTATCAATACAAAATGTGGCTAAGTTGTCAGGTCAGATGGCACTGTGGTCTCCACCTCAAAGATGGATGGGAAACTGGGGGGCAGGGGGGTTGGGGGTGGAGTTGCCTCCTGGGATATAAGTAAACCGACCAAGTTTTTCGCCTGATATCTTTCCACATGTCTTAAAGCTCATTCAGCTTGCCTTAACGCCTAGGTATTCCAGAGAGCCAGTCCCCTGGGGATTCCAGCTTTCAGTTGGTAACATTATTTGTAGCTGAATTATAACGTTATCTTCCCACCCAGCTGTCCCGACTTTCTACATTTATCTCAACATCCTAATTTACCTATAAAAATAGCTTCTACTTTTTTATTATGAAAAATAACAAAAAATAAATGGTGAGCATTATACTCAACCATTTGCCTCATTCCAAATTCTCTTGAGGGTGCATATTGATGATATATATTATAAATATTTACACAGTTGTGATCGATATTCATATACTTCTCCTTTTTACTTAATCTTATTTTCCTACACATATTTTTCACTTTGACCGAGTTCACCTATTTGTTATAGTAGGCAGCTACAAGATATTCCATCTTACTTATCTATGTTGAGCCTTTTTTGACTTAACTGATTCTAATGTTCACAGGAAGTACAATTCCTCTGTATCCATCTCTAATGGGTCACTCTGGACCATTTGTTTCACTTCTGCTTCCTCAAAGTTGCAACCCACTATTTTCACTGGCTGTATCAAAACAGGGTTCAGGAAGTGATAGGTTAGAATGTGTGGGTCCTCCCAAGTAATTTCTTACCAAGTTACACACTGATCCTTCACGCCTTGTTTCATCTTATGTTGTTCATTTGCATAGGACCCATGTCATTCTGTCATTATATTTAACAATTATTTCATGGGTCAGTGACTGAAAGAAAGTGAAGGTACGATAACCTGTGAATTCCAGGCTGTGATTCACAGTGGAAAGCAAACTACATTCTGTACCTCATTCCTCCTTCAATACAAACATCTACAGAAAAGGGTGGGGAGGGAAAGGGGACAGGACTATCTGTTCCTCAACAAATTTTAACTTCCCCCTCCCCATGGGAGTCTAGCCTCCCTCATGTAGATGCAAAGGATGCTGCCACCTCACCTGGCTTCTCCCTTGCAGTGCTTGCACCATCTAAATTAGAGAATCCTTTTCCTGTGGCGCAACAGTTTTGCATGACCAGGCCAAACGGAGTCGACATTTTCAAAGCATGTGCAAACATTTTTTGCTGTTTCTTTACAGTTTATGATGTGAATAGATGGTATAGAAGGTGTGTTGCAGCCTCAGTGGATAAAGTGTCAGATGATCTGGAAACGTATCTAGTCTTTCAATTGTGTCTTATGCAAAAAAATTCCATTCTAAAAGTATTTTTACAATATGTGGCATCTTCCTGCAACAAATCTCTACTTAATAAAAACAGATCTTTAGAGTCAACATCTTTGGCGCCTACTGTATGCGTCGTCAAGTTCTCGTCACCAGCCACAAGCCCACCAGAGGGCGCTCCTTCCCTGTCTATCCAGCCTTCCTTATCAGCGACTCAGAAAATCCAGGTTAAACTTGACTTTCACACTCAGGAAAAGTCTCTCACATCTAATCTACAAATATTTACTAAGAATTTACTGTGCTGCCAGGCGGGGGGCTACTTTCACAAGATGCAGCGGTGAGTTAGGCACAATTTCTAATACCAGATGCTATTGTTGTTAGTGCTATGGAGTGGATTCTGACTCCTAGCAACCCTGTGCACAGCAAAGCAGAACCGTTTCCCGTCTTTTTGCACCTTCCTCTCATCTTCCAGCGCTATATCAGACAATGTTCCGCTGCTATTCACAGAGTTTTCACGGCCACTTTTTCCGGAAGTGGGTGGCCAGGTCTTTCTTCTGTCTTAGTCTGGAAGCTCTGCTGAAACCTGTCCACCATGGGTGACCCAGCTGGTATTTGAAATACTGGTGGCATAGCTTCCAGCATCACAGCAACACGCAGCCCCCACAGTATGACAACCAACAGACAGGTGGAGTGGTTCCCTGATTTGGAAACAAACACGGGCCCTGCGATTTGAGCACCAAATCTTAACCACTTAAACCACCAGGGCTTGGCCCCACCAGAGGCATAGCAAAGACTGCAAGTAAACAACTAGCTACAATAAAGTGGGGTAAGTGAAGAGCTTCTAGGTCTGTGGAGTTTGTAATTTAAATTGTAGCTCCAAGTCTTAGAAGCCGCTAACAATTAATTAAGAGATTAGAGACTGCTTCCGCTCTGTATCCGGGGCATCGCTCTCCGCCCTCTGCTCTCCTCCACTTATTTTGTAAATCAGAGCCAGAGCCCCCTCCTTGGGTGGCTCCATTCGTCAGCTCCGCAATTTCAAGGCCCGTCTCCCTTGCCTTTTTTCAGGGCTTCCTGCAGTTCTCTTACATTTCACTTCTGCCCCAAGCGTACACTTGAGTTGCCCCCAGGGCCAAGGACAACCGACAACTCCAGCCACAGCTGGCTCCGCCCATTCTTTTCCCGGTTTAAAACCCGCGGGCTTTTCCTGTTCTGAACTCCTAAGACTTCCTGTTCTGATTCTCGCGACAGTTTGCGAGACGGCGCGTGAAGGTCGCCTTCCGTTCCTCTTCTGAGCTGGAGACTAGGGTGATAGTGTACCTGCCTTCGTCCACCTCAGCAGAGCCCCTGTGGCCAAGACTGGCATGTCCGCGGCTAGGAAACTCCTAAGTGAAAGGGCTTGGCAGGGTTCAAGCCGGGAGGGAGAATTCTGGACTGCATCCTGGAGCTAGACTGCCGGCCTCCAGTGCGCATGCGGAGCCGATCCCCCTGGGCGGTCCGGAGGCCGCGGCCCCGCCCTGAACTTCAACGCCAGCCTGCGGGCCAGGTCCTTCTGGGCCAGGTCTGACTAAGGTCCCCCCCTCCCCGGCTGCGAAGCTATTTCCGTCCCCTACAAACTGGACTGCAGCGCGGCTTCTGTAAGCCGCTAGGGGCAGGCCGGGGCGGGGCCTGGCCGACCCCGGGCATGGCGGGCGGGCCTCCAAGAATACTCTCCCCGCCCCCAGCCCAAAGTGCCACGGTGGCGCTGGTGGCGGCCGCGAGACCGAATGCCTCCGGCCCTGCCAACTTCGCAACCATAACATGTAATTCCGACCCGGAGCGCGAGGCCAGCTGGGGAGGCGCCCCGCTCACTTCTCCCTACGGCCGCTAGTCGGCTCGGACCTCTAATCACGCGGGTTGAAGCACCTGCCGGATGTGGGGAGGGAGGAGGAGGCCAGATGTGGGAAAGCAGATGTAAGGATAGAGTCTCCGGTCGGCGCCTTGGTGGGGAAGCTGGGTGGACAGTCGCCGCCGGGAAGCCGATCCTGGGCTGCGGGGAGACGACGTTGATGGGCCCTGCCCTCCAGTTGCTCCCGACTTGGCACCAGAGTTCTTACCGACTCCCCATTATGCAGCTGCTCTAGCAGACCCCAGGGACTGCAAAGTCAGATGCGACAGGGCCTAGGCGTTCAACCAACTCTTCGAGCGTCCCAGCCACCCTCCTATCCCCTACTCCCAACTCCCCACCCCACCCCGTTTCTGGTCCTCTCCCAGCTTCGGTGTCCGGTTACGTCTCCTCTGTTCTCACTGTGACTTTGGCCCAGGCCAGGGGAAGTGGCCCAGGAGGGTCCCGTGCGACTGCATAAAATTGGCAGCTTCAGAACTAGAGGAGGGGGTAGTGTGCGACGTCGAGGGGCGGGGAGAGGGGGCGGAGGAGCCGCTTTCTGAGTCCAAGTCCGTGGGCTCTCGCAGAGATCCTCAAACCGGAGCAGAGGTGGCCAGCGGGCTCAGCCATTGTTCGTCTCTGCTGTCTTTCCATTGCCTGCTTTTTGGACTGGAGTCACGCCTGCTCTGAAGGGCTTAGTCCCGGACACTAGGTGAGCGCCCTGGATCCCAGAGCATCACCCCCTCCCCTTCCCATCCTTATTAACAACTCCTTACTTCTCCTGGGGCCATCCATTCCCATCCACCTCTAGCGCAGCAAGCTTCAGAGTTGGATGGTGGTGCTGGTGGGGTGTGTGTGTGTGTGTGTGTGTGCCTGAGCTTTATCGCCCCTTTTTCTCACCTCTCCCCAACCCTTCAAGAACAGCCCAATCAATAGCACCCAGCATAACTGGATGACCCCTAGAGGGTCACTATGCCTCTGTTTTGAAGGTCTACTTGACTCCAAGGCAGCAGGGGAAGGGGCAGTGCTATGGCCAAACTTGGGTACCGGGAACAGTGAGGCTGCTTCTGACCTCCCGAACTGGCTTCCCTCCATGGCAGGGTGCCACGAACGCGCTGATGCCCCGACTGCTCGCAGGGCTTCCAGCTAACCATGCCACAGCCGCCCGCAGCTACCTTGGCGCTGCCCCTGCTACTGCTACTGCTGGTGGTGCGGACGCCGCCCCCGACTGGCGCGCGGCCGTCCCCAGGCCCCGATTACCTGCGGCGTGGCTGGCTGCGGCTGCTGGCGGAGGGCGAGGGCTGCGCTCCCTGCCGGCCAGAGGAGTGCGCCGCGCCAAGGGGCTGCCTGGCCGGCCGGGTGCGCGACGCGTGCGGTTGCTGCTGGGAATGCGCCAACCTCGAGGGCCAGCTCTGCGACCTGGACCCCAGCGCCCACTTCTACGGGCGCTGCGGTGAGCAGCTTGAGTGCCAGTTGGACACAGGCGGCGACCTGAGCCGCGGAGAGGTGCCGGAGCCGTTGTGTGCCTGCCGCTCACAGCGCCCGCTCTGCGGTTCCGACGGCCGCACCTACGCGCAGATCTGCCGCCTGCAGGAAGCCGCCCGAGCTCGGCCCGACGCCAACCTCACTGTTGCGCACCTGGGGCCCTGCGAATCTGGTACGCTCGGCCTGGGGCCCCTACTTCCCGCTCTTGGGGTTCCTCGAGGCACTGCTCCCTGACCCCCGACGGCGTTGGTCTCTGGCCAGTGGATCAAAAAAGAGGCCAGGGAGGCCTCGAGCCCAGTATAAGCCTGCTCTCCCTACTGGACCGCAGAGACCGCCCCCTGAAGGTGCGGTCCCAAGCTCTGTCGGCAAGCTACGTGCGCTCAGGAGTGTGAAAGCTCCAGACCCCGCTGGCAGGGACCAACCCTCTGAGCGAGCAGGCACATAGTCAATGATTGGCCTCAAAAGTGAGAGTGAAGAGACTCCCAGACTTTACCCAGACCGCTGGAGCCAGGCAGCGAGACTTGGGTTCCTGAGAGATGCAATCAGGTTTCATTTGGGCGGATTCGGATTCTTAGAGCCAGCTATTAACCCAGTCTCCCCGCCTCTCCTCCTCCGGACTCCTGCGCTTAGAGATTAGTGAAGGAGGGGGCTCTTCTGCCTGACCCTGCCCCATCCCAGGGGGCTGCGGGCCATTTGAACCTCAAGTTTTCTTTGGCAGCTTTAGTTACTTTCATTTCCTGAGCCCGTTAGAGGGGTCTGGCTTGGAAAACAAACACCCCGCTGGGGTCCCAACACTTCCCCCACAACCCTAGGCTTTCTGCCTGCTACCCGGGTTGGTTTCAGGTTCCCTGCCTTTGCCAAGTGGATCCCCCTCCCCCAGGGTAGGGTGGGGAAGGGCTGCTCTTCCTGCCTGTGGGAACTGGACCTGGTTAGAAAAGGAGGATGGGTGGGGGGGAGGAGGTGTTGATTACAAGCACAGCAGGGTAGGGACCTAGAGGGTGGAATGAGGACAGGGGAACAATCAGGGACAGAGTGTGGCTGCCAAGCTGAGGTTCGGGTCTGTGTGCTTGTTTGTGCACCCTGTCTGCATGTACATCTCCATCTCTGCGTTTGTACCCTTGTGTGTACCTGCACCTACATTTGTATGTACCTGTGTGTATGTGCCATGTGGTGTTTAGGGGTGTGTGTTTACCTGGGCATGTGTTGTGTCCCCCACAAATGCATCCACAGTGGTTTGCATATGAGATTCTTGGTGGGCAGCATGTGCTACCCTGTTCTCAGGCCTCCCACCTTCACCCCCAGAGCCCCAGATCGTGTTGCACCCATATGACATTTGGAATGTGACCGGGCAGGATGTGATCTTTGGCTGTGAGGTGTTTGCCTACCCCATGGCCTCCATCGAATGGAGGAAGGATGGCCTGGACATTCAGCTGCCAGGGGATGACCCTCACATCTCTGTGCAGGTAGGAGCGGGGAGCAGATCCTTCCGGGGCAGCCCAGAGCCCCTTGAAGGGCCCTCCTGAGTCCTCCTCTGGCTCCAGTTTAGGGGTGGACCCCAGAGGTTTGAGGTGACGGGCTGGCTGCAGATCCAGTCTGTGCGTCCCAGCGATGAGGGCACCTACCGCTGCCTGGCCCGCAATGCTCTGGGCCAGGTTGAGGCCCCGGCTAGCTTGACAGTTCTCACACCGGGTAAGGGGGAGCCCTGGGCCCTGGGGGCTGGGGGATGGTGGTGGATTCAGGCCCTTGAATATGTGTCCATGTGTGTAAGTGGGTGCACACACAAGTGTGGCTTTCCCACAGACTGGAATACACTGATAGTCTCTCTTTCCTATTCTTCCTCCTTTGCCCACATGTGTTTGCAGACCAGCTGAACTCCACAGGCATCCCCCAGCTGCCATCCCTGCACCTGGTTCCTGAGGAGGAGGCTGAGAGTGAAGACAGCGAGGATTACTACTAGGCCGGAGCCCTGGCCCACGGGGGTGGGTGAGTAGGGATAGTGTTCATCCCTGCTCTTCAGAACATCTGTAAAGGGGGAGCAGAGCCCCTTCATAGATTGCTTTAATGCCCTTAGTAGGGGAGATATGGCAGTAGTGGTGGGGAGACATGGCGGGGGCAGGGAGACAAACTTGGAAGAGGGTAAGGAGAGAGGCACAGACTAGGGGAGGTGGGATGCAAAGGAGCCCATGCAGGAGATGCCCTGACCAGGACAGTCTCCATTGTGGACCAACCAGGCAGAAGGCAACAGCTGCCCACTGGTCCCTAGGCTGGGTAGGGGGTGGTGCAGACACCAGGATCCTGCCACTTTTTTTGGCAGCCCTCCCTCCAGCCCTGTTCAGCCAGTCTTCCTAACTACCCTTCCCCCACAGCTCCTGCTGTTACTCTCCTAATCCCCAATCTTTGCTTAGTCTCAGTTTACCCTTCCTCAAAACTCACCTTCTAGAAATCTTCCCTCTCTCCTAAGCCACAGGTGCACTTACTAGATGTAGTCCTCTTTGCTGTTCACCATCTGCTGTCCAGGAGAGCACAGTGGATCATGATTTAGTTCAGTGCAGTAAGATGGGCGTTTGGTCATGTCTAATTTCTCCTGTCATTCTGGAAACTCCACAAGACTAGCACTGTATTTTATACCACTCTGTGTTGGATGATGCCTAGCACAGGACTAGGCACAGTAGGCATGCAATAAAGATTTATGAACAAACCAAGACACACAGATGCACAGATGGTTCATGCAGATGTGCACATGAAGAGTGAATTTCTCTGGGAGACCTCCTATGGTAGTAGGACTTGGGCTTCCAGAAACTGTAGGTCCTGCTCTCTAAGCACCTGCCTGCCAGATGTACAGAGAGGAAGCTGGAGCTGGGGCCTATCCTGCCCTCTAGGAAGGAAGGCTGGAGCCGTCTTGTTGGAGGGAGAGTATCCGAGTCTGCACTCCTTTGGGGCTGGTCTTGAGATGGATTGCCTGCCCCTCTGTTCTTCTCGCTCTCGTCCCCTCCCCAGGCAGAGTGAGGAACTAGGTCTGTGTGGGTAAGACCCACTATGAGAGTGGAGAAGTTTGGCACGTGTATGGGCCACACTCTAGCATTCTCCTAGGAATCCACCCATTTCCCGGCAGAACCCAGACAAAGTCATGGTAAGCTGGTTTCCTCATCTGCCCCACTGTGACATGTTCTCTCTGTCTGGGGGGTCCCTCACGAAGCCGCACTCTTTCACTCCCCAAATCTCTCCACACTCTCCTTACCTAGCCCAGGGACACTCGTGAGGAGCAGTGTTTACTGACTGATTGAAGGAGAAAATGAAAGTTTAAATTTGCGACGCCAAGACCCTGTGTGTGGATGGCAACGGCCTCCTACGCGCCTGGGCTCCGCCCGGCGCCTGGCGCCACCACGGGAGAGATGGCATTTGGCTCGGTGTCTGAGCTTGTCCTCTGGGGCCCAACGCCGGGAGCCCGGCTTCTTGGGAGGGGCGTGGCCCGGAACCCCAACCTCAGGGCTTGGCCGCCCCACCTGCGGCACGCAGGGCTCCTGTAGAGGCTAAGCCGGAGGGCGCTTCTCTGTGCCCAGTCCTGACTGGAGCCCAGAGGCTCCGGGAGCCGCGCTCGACAGTTTGAGCGGGTTGTATCCTTGGGGCACATTCCAAGGAGACCGCGGAAGCAAGAGTAGGGATGTGAGCGGTCGGGTCTACATGAGCGCCGCCTGTGGCAGGCATAGGCGCGTAGTGCTGTTCGGCGTCCGGACCAGAAGGAGGTCTGCTTTACGCTGAAAGAGAGGACGTGAGTCTGGATCCTGCGGCAGCCTGGGAATCTGTCCCTGGCTTCTTCTTGCCAGGGACTCCTGCCCAGCTGGGCTTGAAGGCGCCCCCTGGCGAGGCCGTCGATCCTACTGAGCCCACCTGCAGAGCAGAAGTTCGACCCAACCCCGGAGGGTCACACCCCGGGAACTCGTACTCCCTGGTCGCTTTTGCAGCCTTTGTAGGATGTTCGGGTGCAGCCTCCTTACCACCTCAGTTTCCCCTTCTGCGGCAGTGCTGGTTCAGTCCACAACCTGGAGTAGGAGGAACTGCTGCGCCCTCCGCACTCTCCACTACCACCCCCCGCCCCCCCCCACCCGCCTCTGCTCCAGCGGACGGGCTTTAATAACGTCGCTGGAAAGTGACACGCGATTTATTATTAAAGTAATGCGAGGACGGGAAAGGTTTAATAAACGCGCTGCGATGCCGAGGATTATTCACCGCAAATAAATGAGAGGCGGGCGGCGTTTTAATAAATAATTTCCCGCCGCTCCCAGGGGAGGAGAGGGGAGGAGGCGGAGGGGGAAGCTGAGCCGCTGCCAGAACTCTTGGCTTCGCCTCCCTACGGGTTTCCAAGCCTTCCTGGGCTTTTTCCTCCTAGGTTGCTCACACCTGACATGTGAGGTTCCAGGGGAGCTGACTTGGAGTGACTCAAGCCTGGAGGCGGGAGAGGCTCTGTCTCACCCTACTTCCCCCATCTCCGGGATTTTAAGTGGTTTGCTTAAGATGAGGGAATGTGCTTCCTTCCCGCTCCGAACCAAGCCAAGGGTACCAGGTCTCAGGGCCTAGCCATTCTCCTCCCAGCTTTTGGCTGACTTGAGCTGGGTGTCCAGGGCAGGGTGTGGGGAGTATGTCAGAGGGGGCTGTACAGGTGTGTGGGTACCACGTGTGAGCAGATGACCCCGACTCCCCGCCCCCCGCCCCGGCCCGGGGCGTCGTGGGGAATGGGGCCACTGAGTCTGGCTGCTCGTTACTATGAAAGTTCCTAGGAAGAGGACTTGAACCGCGTTGGTCTGAACCGAGGGAGTCCGGGGTGAAGCCAACCCCTGGCTCGCTGGTGGACAGGGGGTGGGGGTGGGGGTGGGGGTGGGGGTGGGGGTGGGGGTGGATTTGAGGGCTGAGCATTCCTGGAGCCCCAACGGGGTGTCTGCCCCTCCAAAAGAAGCGTGGAGGCCCGATAGGATGAACCCGACTTCGAAGAGGGCCGAGACTGCAGACTTTGGCGACCAGGGACATTCCCACCGCGCTGGTAGGTAGGGAAGGGAGGAGGAAGCGCCTGCGGTACGCTGGCTCCAGCAAGGTTTGTGCCTTGGCCCAAAGAGGCGACATCCTTGGCAACGCTTGGGAATACGGGAAGTGGCGGAAGAGTGCCATCTGGTGGATATTTCTGGTTGTGGCAGCCAGACTTTGGCCAGGGACCTTGAGACTGTTAAATTGACTGGAAAAATCTGAGTAAAAAGGTGCTTCCATTTTGTATTCATTTTCTGTATGTGAAGATGCATATGTATGTGTAGTAAATACATGATTTCCGTGTGTGATAGCTATATGTAATATCTGTAATATGTTAATAGTAGTTATCGTGTGTATGTGTGTCTACATGTACTATAAATGAGGTGTATGTATACATGTATGCATGTACATCACAATATATGTCATGTATGTGGATTATCTAAATGCATATATATGTATGTGGATAACTGTGTAGGTGCATATATGTATGTGAGTACATAAGCATTGGATATATGGATGTATTATTACGTGTGTATATAGCTGTATGTACACATTTATTTGCCAGTACGTGTTCCATAATGTGCCATTCTTTCAACAAACATTTCTTTTCTTTTTTTGAAGAAGATCAGCCCTGAGCTAACTACTGCCAATCCTCCTCCTTTTGCTGAGGAAGACTGGCCCTGAGCTAAGATCCATGCCCATCTTCCTCTACTCTATATATGGGATGCCTACCACAGCATGGCATGCCAAGTGGTGCCATGTCTGCACCCAGGATCCGAACCAGCGAACCCCGGGCCGCCAAGAAGCGGAACATGCGAACTTAACTGCTGCACCACCAGGCCAGCCCCATCAACAAACATTTCTTATGTGCCAACACTGTTGTAGGGGCTGGAGATACATCACAGGAAACCACATTGTCCATGCCCTCATGGAGCTTACATTCTATTCTAAGGTGTGCATGTGAATTAATTATATGTGTGTATGTTTACAGGATTATGTGTGCATGTATGTATAACTCTATGTGTGTATATGTGAGAGGTGGATGGGCTTAAACACTCTGGTGGGCTTGGAGATTCCTGGTTTTTTGCTCAAAAGCTCAGGTCCTGTCACCTAGGACTCTATTCTAAGTATGCACGCAGCTCAGGGCAGAGGGAAAAAGACTGGAGACATAGGACGATAACTTCCTAGGATGTTTTTTGATTATTTCCCTAGATCTCTGAATGACTAGATTCTTTCCAAATGGGGAACAGCTGTGTAAGTCCACTTAGAGTAATGAAATGTTAATGAAGATCGAGTCTCACCTCTCTGCTCAGTACAGAGCACCTCAGGAGGAAGGATGATGGCTGGGGATGGGTGGGAATGGGGTCTGGGAGGCTGGGGCTAGGAATAGGTTCTCAGAGGGCAGTGGTGGGGGCATTTCAAGACTGGAAGGGATCAGGTCTGGGAAGTAGTGATGGGAGCTCTGGGAGAGAGTTGCAGATAATGGGGATGGTTTGAGAACTCTTGGGGGAGGGATGGGCTGGTGGACAGAAATGGGACCTAAAGGAAGCACTGAGGTCAGGATCAGGGATGGAGGTGAGGGTGGGGGTGCAGAGATAGAGGCTCTTGTGGCAGGGACACAGCAGTCTTGAAGTGGAACCAGAGGCCAGCTCAGATGGAGTCACCCCACCCTTTTCCCCACCCCTCCCTTCTCCATGCTGGGGTCCCTAAAGCTCTCTAGTCATCTCTCTGCTCAAGCTGCATCCCAGATGTGCTGGGGGCAGAGAAGAGTGCCAGCTTCAGGGCTTGGCCTGGCTTAGGTGACTTACTGGTGGGCGAGGTGAGGCAGGGCTCAGAACACCACTGTTCCATGAAACCTTGTCCCAGCCTCCTGGGTCATTGCTGGCCTAGCTGCCATTACTAGCTTCTAGTTTGGGCTTAACCCAAGGGGAATCAAACAAGGGTGGGGCCTAGACTTGGAAAAGGTCAGAGAACATCCCCCGACCACACACACACACACACATATTCCTGGGACTGAACTGGGAAAGATGCTTCTGAATCATTTCTTCCTTCCTTCCCTCCTTTTGCTAGATGTTTTCCAGATGGAGGCAAGGCCAGAAGTCTTCAGGTGCCAGCCTCATTCTAGGTCTGTAAGACCTTGTGCTGTCCCCTTCCTTCTCAACCTCTCATGCTGGACTACTTCACCCTAAAATCAGAGTTTCTGTCCCTTCATTGCCTCTCCTCCCTTCTTTCAGTCCTTGTTTTGTTCCCAGCATTGAGATCTTAGACCCCTGGGCTGTGTCCCCACTGGTCAGGGGTTCAGGGGAGAGGCTGAAGACACAGGCTGGCTCCTGGCTTGGACTTATTTTTGGCATTTTCTCTGCCGTCTGGGTGACTGAAGGCTCTCTGAACAGGATGAACAGTTATTAAAGTCAGTTTTGGTGACAAATGTTACCCCACAATCAAGTCTTACCATGTCCCCTCGGTGGTCAGCACCTCGGGAGGCAGGACAGACTTGAGGGTTTGGAAATGGGATCTGGAGTCCCCTGGGAGAAAGGACAGGGTCTCTGTGAGAAGTGCTGTGGTCTCCCAGGATGAAAATTGAGGGCTCTAGGGACAATTACTTCCTGCCTGCCACCTGTCCCCGACCCCAGATCCCTGAAGCAGGGCTGGAGAAGTCCCCATAGGTCTCCTGGACTTGGCTGGCCCTTGC